GGGGGGGGGCTGTATTAACTTGTTTTCCTCCATAATCTTAAATCTATACTGACAAATTTACAATGCGCGCGTAGCTATTTCACTTTAACAAAGTGAAGATCCAGGCTGAACGAATAGAGATATATTTGACCGATAACCTGACCCATTGAGCTTAGTTTTGGTGGGCGGCACTTATTTTTTTGCTTTGGTCTAATTTTGTGTCTCAAAGATATCACATAGGGCGACACATCTCAAGTTTGGATTTTTAGGTAAATTGTTGCGTCCTAAATATGGTATGATATACGGTATGATTTTTCAAACGAGGAGGCCGACTTTTGTGCTCCTTGAATACGCTGTCACAGCTCGTCATTTTCTTTCTGAATGTGCCAAGCATGATTAATGTGCACACCCGATGCCCACGTGATCGTTTCATTCAGGTCTTTGTGTGGCGACATCAAACATAATTTCACAGGTGAACTTTTGAAAGGGAGATCCCTGGAGCCCACCTGATGTATACTGCACTCCCGTCAAATTTGGCCTGTAGGAGGAAGAGTGGCGTGGAAGGTCTACTGGTTATGCTGTTGGGCTCGCCACCGATAGGTCTTAGGTTCGATCCCTGGCCAAGGCCCGACACCATGTCCCTGGAAGAGACATAATGATAATAGATAGCATTTATTTAAAGCAAATCGCCGCTCAACAGCAAGCTCTATGCGCTTTACAATCTGTACTATTACCCCATGAGAGCATTCTGAAACAACCTCAACTTCCTGGGAAGCATACAGTGCATGCGGCCATTTATAGGCGCTAAAACACTAACATACTGACAAGATCTTTCGCCGTCTTTGACTGGGTACACATTCCCACTTGGGTGAAGAGATGAAAATAAATTCGTGTAAAGTGCCTTTCCCAAGGACACAACGTCGGCCAACGGCTCGAACCCCCGAACCCACAACCTCACGATTACGAGTCCGGTAGCCTAACCACAAGGCCCCCGGCGCCACTGTTACACGAATATCCCTTACTTCACACTTGTGGGAGTTGGGTGTATTGCTGAAAGCATGCCAGTTTGTCACAGTTTGTCACAGGTCCAGTTTGTCACAGTTTGTCACAGGTCCAGTTTGTCACAGTTTGTCACAGGTCCAGTTTGTCACAGGCCTCGACTGTGCCCTGCATAATGGAAGTTATCACTGACACTCTCAAAAGGAGTACATGAATGATTGATTGATTGTATGGATTGAATTTGATTTTTCAATTATTTTAACGAAAGAACATTCAATGTTGAATTGTTACAGAGTAATTTGCTTCGATTTGTATACAAAAAGGAAGAGATGTTGAAAAACACAAGCTGAATTGACTTTTTAGAGGGACTATCTCTACACCACCAATTTGAAGATGGAGAACAAAAAAACTAAAGTTACAACTACAGTTTTACACAGTGCTGTAAATATGATAAACTGGGCCTGTGGCAAACTGGCCAGTCCGTCTATAGCCAGGGGCCTGACGTTGTGTCCTTCTGAAATGCCTTTTACAGGAATTGTCTTCACCTCATCCCGGTGGGAATGAGTTCCACCCAACTAAAGGTAGCAACAAATCTGGTCAGTTTGTTAATGTCTGAACGTTTAATCGGCTGCTTGCAGTGTAGTATGCTTCCCTGGAAGCCGAGAATGTTTGTATGCGGTGCAGGAATTATTTGCGGGAGTTATCATAAAATAAATTATAAATCGTTTAGAGATAACTGCTAAGTGAGACTAGATCTATGAGCCGTGCAACTATTATGTTTCACTATTACAATCTGGAAAAAAATCTGGGTTTCTTCTGCTTGGTAATCTTGACTTGTTTTATAATTTACCCACTGCAGAGGCGGAACTTGAACTCATTTCAATAACTAACAGCGACGCCTCTTGGTTGTTGGTTTTGTTTGTCAAGGTGTTCACAACAGTAAATATCTGCTAAGCTTGACCTTTTTTCCCTTAATAAACCGACGCTTCAACATTCCACATGCTCTTTGGGTTTACAAAAGCGATAGATTTTTCCCCGTCCATTGTTGCACAACTGTAGCCAGTATTGCGTCCACTCGGCTCTTTACGAAACCACATAATAATTTGTTTCGATTTTTAAAGACGTGTTCAGGAATATATTCTTCTCTCTGTTACGCCTTATCCAAGCAAATCCATCCATGTGTGCAACAATCCCCGGACTGCATTGGATCTGTGATGTCATAAATTATGTTTACACATGAAAATGTAAAAAAAATAAATCAAATCAAATGTAAAAAAAAACAGGGCCGGTCATTGACCTTAGCAATATTAACTCTGGTGACGTAGCAGCTTCCTTTTACGTAACTGTCTTTAGTGGGTTAATAGCGCCCCTACGTAACGGCCTTCATAACGCCCCGCCCCCTTCCAACCACCCCCCCCCGCCCCACCCTCCTTTGGGAGAAACATTAGCTGATAAAAGTGTCCATTTATTCCTTTCTGCTCTCAGTTTCCTTCTTTTTTCATCTTTTATTCTCAAACTTACGCAAGCCTCTATGACGAGTGGTATAGATCTAGATGTGAGGCTTATGCAAGCTTCTCCAAAAAACGGTTTTTAAAGCCTTAGATCTTGATAACAGTTCGCATTTATCTCAAAAACACGCCAGAAACTTATTGTGCTGTGCATCGTGGTGAAATCAGACGCTTGTCATATTAATTACACTGAAGAAACCAGCCTTTTTTACCCCGTTTTTGGCAATTTTGAAATTAACCCCCCCACCCC